CCAAAATCTTGCCAAGGAAACTGTCCAGGAAATCACCAGAAGTCAAGACTGATTTGAAAGCAATAAATAAATAAAATCTGGAACAGTTTCACGAAGAGTGTGACATCAGAAGAACCAATGACTTTTCATTCAACGGGTTTGTCTATGGAGATTCTCACTCGTCCAGATTATAGTTGGCCCAAAGGTGTTTTTCCAAAAGGCAACTCTTTTCCTTGAAGAGGTTTTTGCTTCTCATCCAAGGAGCTTCTTTAGTTGTGACTGAAGAAGTGTCAAGAACAAAATTTTGGTAGTTATGTGCCTCTATGTTTCAACTTGCCATTAGATTAAGGAGGGAGGGAGGTGTTGCTTTAAAATTGGTTAAGATGGAGAAACGAAACCTCTACGAATTCGCTGACGAACACAAGAGCCTGAAACCTTTTCAAGGACACTGCAGCAGGTGTGGAGAGAAAGCAGACGGTTCCCAGAACAAAATGAAATTGTTTACATGAACAATTACATGAGAGAGTGGGGGGTTTGGCTGGGGAAATTATTGTTTAATTCTATGAACTGGTATCTGGGGACCTCAGAGTTAGTTTTGCTTCAGCATTTCCATGCTGTGTATTCAATAAACAGTAAGATTTTTGGAAGCGGAATGAACCTGGAGTTTTATTGGGATTCTCGAGTTGAATGTGACAAGAAGCTTTTTGGATGAGAAGCGAAACATCTTCAAGGAAAGGCAAAAGTCCATTTGCCTTTTGAAAAAGCACCTTTGGGGACATCCCCACTCAAAACCAGCCTGATTTTTATTAATTTATGTATTATTGATGATGATGTGCTTTCAAATCAGCAACGACTTTCGGCAACCGGCTGCACTAAACTTGACTTTGCCTTATGAAAAAATCCGGATGTAGGAAAAAAAAAAACTTTCCTCCTAACCCAGGGGTAGGCAACCTTGGCTCATTTATGACTCGTGGACTTCAACTCCCAGAATTCCTCAGCCAGCCACACTGAGGGGAAAGGGAGAGGTTTCCAAGCTGAGCCATGCTGGCTCAGGAATTCTGGGAGTTGAAGTCCACGAGTCATAAAAGAGCCAAGGTTGCCTACTCCTGTCCTAACCGGTTTCCTTTTCATTTATAGTATTTTCAGCACAAGTTTGTCCTTTAAACTTACAACCACAACCGAGCCCAAGTTTCCATTGCTAAGCAAGCAGTTGTTAAATGAATTTTGCCCCATTTTATGACCTTTTAAGATAAGAGAAGATAACCTTTATTGTCATTTTCTTACTGTGGGCGCAACGACATACATCAAAAATGAAATTTAGTTGCCCGCTCTCAAAGTATTTATTTCAGCTGTACTCCAAAAATCCTGCCCTACAGTTTTAAAAGCAAACATTCATTGGTCTTACCTAAAGCTCCGGTAAGGTGTAATTATTTCGAAAGATTGTTTTGCGGCCCGATCAATCTGCCTCACATTAGCCACGTTCATAGGTATGACGGTAATGCCATAGCCAGATTTAAAATCCTGAAGGAGAGAAGGAAAGCACATTAGAATCCTGTTTAAATAAATAAATAAATCAGGTGAAATTTTGTTATTTTGAAACCAGAATTGGCTAGGGTAGGTCTCTGCAGAACAGAGAGCCATGTTAAGGTTCCTTTATTGCTTGTGTTGACCGCTTAGCCCAACCGTTCTATGAATTATAATTTTAATGTCCTATCCAGCAGATTTCACGCAATGCAATTCCCTAGATTTTTCTATGAGTTTGACATCAGAGTTTGTTTGTGTGTGTATGTGTATAATAATGATGATAATGATGATGATGATGATGATGATGATGATGATGATGATGATGATGATGATGGAAGGGACCTTGGAGGTCATCTAGTCCAACCCCCTGCTCAGGCAGGAAACCCTATACCATTTTGGACAAATTGCTGTCCAGTCTCTTCTTAAAAACTTCCAGTGTTGGAGCATTCACCGCTTCTGGAGGCAGGTTGTTCCACTGGTTAATTGTTCTCACTGTCAGGAAGTTTCTCCTTAGTTCCAGGTTGCTTCTCTCCTTGGTTAGTTTCCATCCATTGCTTCTTCTCCTGCCCTCAGGTGCTTTGGAGGATAGCTTGACTCCGTCTTCTTCATGGCAACCCTTTAAATATTGAAACATTGCTATCATGTTTGTGTGTGTGTGTGCATGTGTGATTTCAAAAGTGAAACGCAAGAAATATGTGAGAAGCAAGAGCCATGGTGGCGCACTGATTAGAATGCAGTATTGCAGGTTAACTCTGCCCATAGCCAGGAGTTCGATCTTGACCGGCTCAAGGTTGACTCAACCTTCCATCTTTACGAGGTCGGTAAAACGAGGACCCAGATTGTTGGGGAGCAAAATGCTGATTCTGTAAACCACTTAGAGAGGGCTGTAAAGCACTGTGAAGTGGTATATAAGTCTAAGTGCTGTCTTCCTTCCTTCCTTCCTTCCAAACTCAAAGGGGTCACTTGTGGCTATGTAGGGATTCTAGGCTGGTCCCTCTTTTAACACCGCCCTCAGTTTTTGCCATTCTTCCTGCTACATGTTCTGAACTTGTAATCTTTTTCAACAAAGTTCCTCCTCCTTGTTGGACACTGAGAAAACTTAACATTCCCCAAACCAGGAAGAGAACACAGCCTTTTAAATGATAAACAGCAGTGATGTCTTCAGATTCAGCTCAGTGGGTTACCGTTGTCTTCTTCCAGGGTGTATTTTCAATTCCTCAGTCTAGCCGACACCATTAGAACTTCCTTTTGGTTTTCTGTTCACGGATTTTGTTTACTTTCTGAGTGCAGACAAAAATCGACGGAGTCTTCTACTTCCTGAGTCGTCCAAATACTAGTTTTAAAATTCAAACAGTCCTTATTATAGACTGCACAGATACACAGAGATATACACTTATTTTTTCACCACTTCTAGACTTTGGTCTGCAGTGACACTCTGTGGCAGCAGCCAAGATCTATCACAGGAATAAGGTTAAAAAATCTGCTGTTGTTGTTTTTTTAGTATAGCTCACATATAGAAATATTACTCTCCTTAAACTCTTAATTGTGTATCCGGCAGTATGATTTCAGGTGAACGTAATGTCCAGGCTGATAGAGATATTTTCTGTCCAAGCCATAATAAGATCTATGATGGACAGGGTTGAAAATACTTACTTTGCCACGTAGCTAGCTGTAATTAACTTTATTTCAAGAGAACATTTGTGCATTTACCAGGAAATTTAAAATGAAGTGCTTGAGGTTGTTTTTTTCCTCCCATTGCTTCCAGAACATTTGTTTCGTACATACTCTGCCATTTCTAATGATTTGTGGGCTACACGTCACATTGAGGTTGGCAACAAAAGTGATCAATGAAAGCTATCTTCTCTCTTCTTCTCCACAGCACAGTGCTATGTGTCCACCCGATGGGAAGTCCAGGAAGTCATCTATTACAAAAAATCCAAAAATCGGTGGCCTTTCTTTAATTCCAATTCAGCAAAACCCAAGGATCCCAAAAGCTAAAGCCAGCTCAGCTGAGGTAAATATTTCCAGTAAATATTTGCAGAGGTAAATATTTGTGTCGTTGACGTTCCAACGATGTAAAAAAGATGCTGAGACTCTAGAAAGAGTACAGAGAAGAGCAACAAAGATGATCAGGGGACTGGGGGCTAAAACATATGAGGAACGGTTGCTGGAATTGGGTATGTCTAGTTTAACGAAGAGAAGGACGAGGGGGGACATGATAGCAGTGTTCCAATATCTCAGGGGCTGCCCCAAAGAAGAGGGAGTCAAGCTATTCTCCAAAGCTCCTGAAGGCAGGACAAGAAACAACGGATGGAAACTAAACAAGGAGAGAAGCAACCTAGAACTAAGGAGAAACTTCCTGACAGTGAGAAGAATTAACCAGTGGAACAACCTGCCTCCAGAAGCGGTGAATGATCCAACACTGGAAGTTTTTAAGAAGAGACTGGACAGCTATTTGTCCGAAATGGTATAGGGTTTCCTGCCTGAGCAGGGGGTTGGACTAGATGACCTCCAAGGTCCCTTCCAACTTTATCATTATTATTATTATTATTATTATTATTATTATTATTATTATTATTATTATTATTATTATTATTATTTGAATAAGCAGGAGGCAACTCTACAGAACAAGAGACAGACCTACAAGGATGCAGAGATTAAACCATTTTGGGAACATCCCAAATAATTTCTCATTAATAAAGAGGCAGAAGACTTTACAATGGACAAACTAGGTAGCCCACAGCAGGGGAAAAAAAAATAACAGTTTGGCCACAATCAATCTATTTATTTATTTATTTTATTTTATTTTATTTTTGCACAAGGAGAGTGTTTTTCTGCTTTGCTAGGCTCTGCTTTGCTTTCCGAGCGCGGCTGAAAGCCGTAATAATTAAGCAGGGCTTATTCAGACTTTCACACTCTGCTAGCTAATGGACTCCAGCAATTGTGATCCTATTATGTCCCCCCCCCGGGCTCAGCTCATTTATATTCAGATGTCTGAAGAGTCAATATCAATGGCTGGCATTTGCTTAACAGCCAGCAATAAAGGGAAAGATAATAGAATCACAAGCCCATGAAAGCAATCGTTCCATCCAGACTTGCCCTTCTGACAAGCCCCAACACAATAGTTACACCAGGCGTTTAACCTTGGTTATTTACAACAACCGCTGTTACTATCAATGGAGGAGAGTATGTGTAGCTCAGGGCTGAAATGGGGGGTCCTTGGTGCTCTCTGAGCTTGCTTGTTTTCTTGCAGACGTTTCATGACCCTAACTAGGTAACATCATCAGTGCTAGAAGGGAGGAGGGTTTGCAGGGAGGAGGAGGAGGAGGAAGAGGGGGAGGGGGAGGAGAGGAGGAGGAGAGGAAGAAGAAGAAGAAGAAGAAGAAGAAGAAGAAGAAGAAGAAGAAGAAGAAGAAGAAGAAGAAGAAGAAGAAGAAGAAGAAGAAGAAGAAGAAGAAGAAGAAGAAGAAGAAGAAGAAGAAGAAGAAGAGGAGGAGGAGGAGGAGGAGGAGGAGGAGGAGGAGGAGGAGTTGGAAAAACAAGAACAAGAAGAAAAAGAAAAGGACTGTGGGGTCCTTGGTGCTCTCTGAGCTTGGTGGTTTTCTTGCAGACGTTTCATTACCCAACAAGG